GTTGTACACCTTCACGCTCCATTATGTTACATCCCTAGATAGAATTGCAATAGGCAGAAAAGGAGAAAAAAAGATGAAACAACAGCAGGCCATTATAAAAAAAAGATAAGTTGAGGGGGTGCTACATATAGCAGGAGTCACAGAAAAAGAGGAAAACAGCTTCATACACAAGATTATTTCACCTTCATTCTTTAGCTACCTTTCAGATTCCAACAGGCAGGACAACTATTACAAACTACAGCATGCTGGATATATTAATGAGAAAGTGTGCATTTCATTTTCCTCATCCACTCAGGGACAAAGTTAGTCTCACAGGTTTTAACTTAAACAATGCTCTCAGCCAGTTAAATTAAAACACTCAGCATGATTTCCCAAAATGTGTTCTAATTTTCTGTGTAAAGCTTTAAAATTCACGTTACAGCTTCACTAGTTTTATCCTCATTAATACTAGAACGGACTTTAATGTTAGTATATCTAAACCAGCTTCAATTGGAGGGCTTGATCCTCAACATATCTGAAGCCTAGGACAACCAATACAAACTGTGGAGGTTTAGACTTTCTGTATCAATATAGAGGAGAATGGCAGATGTCAATAAAAACATTGGCAGTAAACGCAGTAACATACCTAAAAGCAAATAAGATATTCACACACACACAAAGACAACTAAACAAAATCGTCACTGAACTGCAAGTTGCAGTAGTGAATGTTTTTTCCAGAGCTACAAAAAATGCTGAAAAATAAAGAAGTATTCAGAAAAGGAAGTAATAAAAGATTAAAGTTCTGGCACGAGTAAATACTAGGGCTATTCAGATTGTTGAGGTTTCTTCTTTTCTTCTATATATTGTCATGTGCCTGGAAATGTTAAAATTGCTAAATTAAATTAAAATATTTTATACTGGCAATTAATGGGACTAAGAATGTGTACTTTGAGTTGTGTCTTCCCTCGATTTATCCTCCATGCATCATAATTTTAAATGCATTTCTTCATTCTCAGACAACTTCACTGACTGAGTTCCAGTTAGAAAAAAAAGTTCTGAAAAAATAACTACCTAGTTATTTCAAAATGTTTAAGCTAGAGGTTTTAGCATGTCAGAAAGTTGCATATTACATTTACAGATGAAAATAACTGGATGTATTTCAATCTTCAGTAAAAAAAAAAATGCAACAAAATATGAAGCACATGTACATCAAGAATTCATCAAGATAAGGCAGACAATTTTTATATATATAGATACAATGAATAAAAGTAAAATTAAAAAAAAGTAAAACCCTTAGGGAAGAAGAAATCTGAAAGAACATATATGAATACCCAAGAACAGGATTAATGAAAGTAACTGTAGTAATACAGCAAATAAAGCCAGTAAAGATCATGAAAGCTGTGAAAACTTGTTTCAGAGTACTACTGAAAAAGGACTAGACCTAAGTCTATTTACAGAATCATATAAACTTGGGACTTGTAAAATTTACACACTGAGCCAGTTTGAAGGGCTTTTTCAAAGATCTATCTTTGAAGACCTTCTTAAGCCCTTTTCCTCGCCTTTCACAGCCACCTTAACACTGCTGCAATGTCTCTGCCTTATTTCTTTCTCCTTCCCCATCTTCAGCTTAGTAGAAGAAAAAACTTTAAAAAATATCATGCATTTCCAGTTCATATCCTCCATTACTATTACTGCTGCAGCAATACAATCTGATATTTTGCACGTTCACAACCTTTTGTGTTTTCATCAAAATGTCTTTCTATAAATGCATGTTATATTTGTGTCTTTTCTCACTCTTTTCCCTAACACTTAGTTCTTCGGTCAGATACGAGGCTGTCCTGGCCTGTAATTATCATTAACAGTTGGTGAACAAAAAAAAAATTAACCCACAAAGTGCAGACAGAGCAATACCTCCTCAGCTTCTGTCACCGAACAGCTTAGAAGCTTCTTGAGCTGATGGCTAATTTGAATCACTGTTAATAGCCAATGAGGGAACCCGCCTCCTTCTGAAACATATATATATATCTCAGCGTCCATAATTAAACTGGAAATTATTGCCAAAGGGTATGTGAGGTATGTTTAGTAGGAGTTTAGGATTCTTCTTTTTTTTTTTTTTTTTTTCCCTTTGTTTGCAGGCTGTTTTAGTAATGCCAAAAGTTCATTGACAGGGCCCTTGATTTCGTGTGTGCACGTAAAATAGTGAAATCATTCAGTATTTCCTATAACTTTAATGAGTTACAGAAACATATCTTACACTAACTGCATGCTTTGAATGACAAAAATAAAGCCATCTGATTGATCTGAGATTGTTGATACGAAAATACTTTTACCATCCTTATTGCTATTTTGCAACTATTCTTACTCTACAGTTTGTCTTTTGGAGACAAACTAAAACTTCTATGTTCAGGACGTGAGTACACACAGACAAATAAAAAGTATTATGCACTTTTCTATTTTTTTCCCCCATCTACTAGTTCAAAGTTCTCCTTTCATCTTTAAGAATGCTGAATGGCAAGTTATTGTCCAAGAACTGAGGTAATTCTCATACATTTTTTTGAGAAAGTAATAGCTAAGTGCATACAAACGTACATGCAGATTCTAATATGTTATCATCACCAGTTTGTACATGCAATGTAAAAAAATCTATTGACAACTTTACCTGTCACTTCATCATGCAATTATAAAAGAAATTCCCTAAAAAAGGCTTTTGTCATTTTCTATATATCAGTTGATTTCACAGTTGAACATATAAGCAGTCTGTATTCTATTCAACTTGCACACAGATTTAAGTGATTGAATATATGTTACAGTTTTGTAGCAATCTCATGCAAAATGTTCAGTTTCCTCATCACTTAGATTAGCAGCTGCCCAGCTCTAACAAGCTTCCACTGTGTGCACAGAATATGGTATTTCTCCCTTCTCTCCTGGAAGCCTGCCGGCCTGCCTCTCACTTAACTTTCCAGATTAACAGCAGAAATTCAACACCCAGATACACACATATCTTAAAAAAAAAAAACAAAAAAAACAAAACAAAACAAAAAAAACCCTGTATGCAGAGGACACTAAACACTTTTTTCAAGGACTACAGGTAAAGCAACTCATTTCTTCCTGATCTTATTCTGGAAACAGATAAAAAACGAAACTGATTAAACTACTCAGTAAAAAACCAAAATCCATAAAAGAAACAAACTCAAAACAAAAATGATGTCTTCACTACAGAAGGCACAGATAATTTTGACCAATATTTGTATAGACACATACTTATCACTGTAAGAAAACAATTATGTTTTCTTACAGTGCCTACCTATCAACTTTTTTCTCATTGTTGGTATTTAAACAGTATGTGTTCACCAATCTTATTAACTGAGGCAGGATGCATCAAAAATACTAGTATTATGCATGAAAATAGAGCTAATCCCCACCATAAAGGTTCATAGAAGCATTCCATTATCTAGCCTTCCAGAAACATGTATGTTGCAAGTTAATAGAAACCATCTCAAGCACAAGTTCTATTTATAAATGAATTCGTCCACCCTAGCTACCCAGTGTACTATATATATATATATATATATATTTTTTTTTTTCCATCATAGATACAAGTACTGCTTTCTCTCAAACAATGAAATAAAAACAAGAGATGGCATCTTTCTCAACCACGTAATACAAATGACCAAGTTCTATAACTCAAAAATTGCCAAATTAGGAAAAGAATTTAATGTCCATTAAATGCAACTACATATGAATAACGCAATACACCAGAGTATATGCCTCTTTAGCTTACCAAGGTTATTATTTCACAAAAAGGGAAAAAAGACTTTTTAAACCTAAAATCTAAGAAAACAATGAATTTGAAACTAGAAAAGACTCAGTTCATGTTGCATCCGAAATACAATATTGTATCTCTTCAAGAGCAATTCCTTTTGTACAAATTAAAAACAACTATTTAATCACGCTTTGAAAAAGGCTGTTTTGTTCATAATCTTGAACAGCACAATAAATTGAAAAAAAAAGTTTGATTTCTCTGTGCATCAACATCTATAATTGTGGAAAAACAGGCTTCCAGTTCAAGTATCATTATGAAAAATTGACTTTTAGACATAACAATGGCTCAGAATAAAAGTAGTTGGAGAATCTTAAGTCCTCTTGCCTCCTTTCCTCATTCTATACTCAACTATAGACAAAAACATACTTGTTTTTAATTGAAAGTAGTAAAATCAACATTGGCTAGCTGAATAAGTTCACACAAATTGACATTTACACTAAAGACTGAACAAAATAGGCCCATTTTAGCTCCTATGTCACGATATTTCTTTTAAAAGACAGAGGGCTACAGTCTATTCAACTGCATAGAAACTATGATTAGTAAAAGTACTTCTGTGATGCAGTAAAGACACCATTTGTTTGTTCTGGTTAAACACTTGAAAGAAATAAGTCTAAAGATATCACAATTTTTATTTTCAGGCGAAACGTTATAAAAACCAGATCTATCAAAATCATACTCTTCAGCTCGTCATAATATTATACCTCCTAGGAAAAAATACTGTTAAAGTTTTACAACAAACTAAATACCTTCAGCATGCTTCTACTTTTAAGTGTTTCACAACATAAGTTTAGAATCTACTAGCTTCTAATGGTTTACCAGATTACCTCAGAAAACTAAAATGAAATGTAATTTCCCGCAGAACCTTGTAAAATAATTAGCAATTAAAAAGATACTGTGCAACACTGTTTATATTTTATGCATTAGTACCCCTCTGTAATATATATGTTTAATTCCACTGGCTAAATTCAACAATTAAAGCGTTTAACATAGAAATGTAGAAATTAAACAGGTAATGGTTAAGCCACGTATCAGAGATGTCCTCACTCTGCAAAAGCACTCCTCTGAATAAAGGAATGAGAACAGTTAATGGAAAAAAAACATCACTATGCATACTGCATAATAAAAGTACTTGTTAATAAGCAGTAAATAAAAAGCATGGTTTTCCCATGAATGAGAAGTTCATTGGCTTTTGCCATACCTTTATCTGTTGTCTTCTAAGCATTGCAAGTTCTCTCATATCTCGGAATGGTTGTAGTAAGTACTGGTAGAGCTCTGTGGTAGCTTCTGCAAGACTGCTGTAGGCCTCATCCTCCATCTGATACAGTTCAAGCAGCTCTACCATGCTTTCTGTGTTTTTGTGTTTTTCCAGTAGCTATAAAAAGAAAAACACCGATTTTAATTAACGTTTTAAAATTCCTGCTGAAAGCAATAACAGTTTAAAAAGTACTTTTAGCCCATCTCTTCTCTCCTCCAAAAATCCTCACTTGGACAGACCAAATAAGAAAGTCTCAATTTTCCTTTCACATATTGAATTTAGCTAATCAGATATGATCACTTCTCTGACAACCTTAACCCAGAAAGTATGGCATTCCTATTGATTTCCTCCCTACAAAAATCACAATAAATAATAAAAGAGTACAAAGAGCACAAAAAGTAACATATTCATCAGATACGCTACTTCAGACGTTTCCCACTTTCAGATGTAGTAGGAGGAATGATGGGGAAAAGTCAGAAGACAACTCAGATGTTAAGATTCCTAGCTCACCTATTACTTCGTACCTACATAAGCTTCATTATATTAATGCTGCTCCAGACACAGATAGAAATCTATGTGAAACGAAACAGTGATCTGCATTTTACCCAGATAATTTAGGCATGAAGATCAAATCCAGAGTGTCTATTAGATATTTTTAACAAGGAAATTATAAATGTATTTTAAAATTTAATTTTTTTTTTTTTTTCAAAACATGTGTTTTCATTTAAGGAGACATCCTGTCAGTTCCTCCTTTCAGATCTTCTGAAGTGGAAAATTTATTCATTGCTACAAATCTGCTACAATGTATGTTTTTAATTTATGTTTGCTTTGCATCTATTTTGGGCATCTGTCTGAACAAACCTCACATGTTGCTGAAAATCTTTTACCATTTCCAAAAATATATTCAACTGTTCAGCTACACTGATCTCATACAGATATGTGGAGTAATTGATGTGTTCACCAAGTCAAGATTATCTGAAATAAAATCTTCTCTTACTCTCAGACCCTGAAAGTGAGTCTCTTTTCTTTTCCTTCACCACCTCAAAAGCATATACAGTCAAATGTTTAATTAAGCACAGATTTGGAAACTACAGAATAACCATTTTGCATCTTCTCTGCAGTCATGTAAACTGGATTCTCAATTTATAAGAAATATTTGCTTTATATATGACTGCATCAAGCATGAATACTGGAAAACAAAATAGAGGGAACTGTAGATGAGAAAGTGAATCTTTGATCAATAATTCTCTGGCATCTGATTTATCTGTATCCCACAACTGTCAAAAGACATTTTTTACCACAGTAGTCTACTCTGTTCCATTATGTTCATACTATTCTGCTGTGTTTGTTACTCAAAAGAAAAAAAACTCTAACACAAATTTTGCATCTGATGATCCCCACCACACTGCACCAATTTCTCTGAATCTCTAAATATTGGACAAGATTAAGAAACAGGAATCAGAGAGGCTTGTAGTAGCTTAATTTGCTCACTGATCATTGATATGATTGACAGATGACAAGCCATAAAATATTTCCTTCAGCAAGGCTTGTTGGTGATGAGAGGTCTGGATGAGACTGTAGAACAGCGATGATGTTTCTCATCAGCAGTATGACAATTTGTTCTTTCACCTAAACAATTCCGCCTCAGAAACTGTTCCTACTCCAGGCTCATTCACTATGCCCTTCTGCCGACTGCCAGCACATGTAATAACCCGTGGTGTTCAAGTTCTCGGTGAAGGTACTGGGCAGTGTTCTGTGGTTTGCAGTCCATAAAACTAATGTTTTATGCATGGTCTGTGCTAAACACACACAAATGAACCTCCACCTGAATGGACAGCAGTCAGTCCATTTCCACTCTGGATTTGACTCCTAAGTTTCTGCAGACTACACATTATTCCAGCAGTTTTAGCCTTTCAGACTATTAAGCCACCACTTCCTTAGCTCTTCTTGCTGCTGCCAGTGTCTTAAAATATAGCTGCCATACTCATCCCATCTCCTGTTTGTACCTGGCATATCAAAAACTTTCCTGTAAGCCCAGAGCTGTAGTTATTTCTCCATCAACATACTGAAAAAAACAAACCTTTTCTCTCAAGCCAACTGTTACAATATATCTATAATACACTATAATGTTAGTTTTCTGGTGGAGGCTTAGGCTGTATTAACTGCTTACTGAGTACACAATTTCATTTTAGGATGTAATCCTACTATTTTGTAGATATACAAACTATACAGGGCAATAAAGAGAAGTAACAAAAATTAGAAAAAATATACAAATATCACCCTTTAAAGGAGTATTTTAAATAATCAAATTTAAGAATAAGAGCAATACAATATAGTTGGGTTTTTTTTTTTGTTTGTTTTGTTTTGTTTTTCTAATTATTTGCAGATGACTCTTAAGGCCTTTGTGATAATTTTGGTATTGTGGAAGGCAGTCACAGCTTTGCAGAATTAAGACTAAAGAGGCACCAGAAACTAAAGATTCATTTCAAACGTATGTCCATCCATACAGTGCAAAGGTATTTCAGGACACTGGCAGCACGCATCTACTTACAGTGCTAGTTATTCAGAGAAAATTCCATAGACAGAAACGGGACTGATATCATAATGAGGTATCCTGACACTCGTTGATAAAGCAAGTAAACAGGCATAATTTCAGGGCCTTGTCCACATTCAATTTCATTTGGTCTGTTGCTGGGATTCCCCTAATTCTATGCCTACAAATGCTTTCCAACTTATTCAAAATACCCAATCCTCAAGGAGTAAACTCTTAAAAACAAATACAAGCAAGGGCACGTTATGTTATTCACAAACACATAGTGTTGTCTTAAATTATTAACACAAGGCCTTCCTTCATTCCTACAGCAACAAACCACACATGCTGCATGTCCCATGCCTAAGAAAGACTTTTTTTTTTTTAAATTAAAATGGTGATGCAATTTCCACACAATTAGAGTTTCAATAAAAAGACAACACTGGAAAGCTGATTCAGAAACAACCAAGTATCACCTTCTTTGATTTACACCAAAGGGCCATCAAATACGGATATTCTTCAAAATAGGTAGGAAAATTACCTGCCTCTTCATACAGACTACACACACCTGCCTATTAGCACATTTATATAAAGGCTCACTCAGTCTGCATTTGAGATCTAAATCTCTTACAAAGGCTGCGAATCAGCTCAAAAGCACGTATACATTTTGTTTCATCAGATCAATACCATAAAACTGTTGGCTCAAATTTCACTTGAATTAAAAGCTACATGAGGGAAAGATGAGACTGAAGAAATATAAATGATCCAGTTTTGGAAAAGAAAAACGAACAATGCAGAAATTATGACCTACATTTGAAGTGATAGTTATGATACGCACAATCTAAGGGTATAAAGAGAAGCACCAAACTACCCTCTCCCCTTTTTTGAAACTGATGCGATTACCACACTTCACCAATGCAGTGAGGCATGATAGCTTTGATTCTCTTAGTAGACATGGCCAGTAAGACAATGAGGTGCAGAGGCTGGTTTGTTGTTATCAGTCCTAAAGGGGAGAGCAGACATATATCGTTAGCTGTGCCCTCCCATTCTGCTCTACAGTGCAGTCTGAAGGAGCTTTTCCTGTCCAGGAACCAAGTCAGATGAAGTTGTTGTTTTTTTGTTTCTTGTTTTTTTTTTTTTGTTTGTTTGTTTGTTTGTTTGTTTTTGTTTTTGTTTTTGTTTTTGTTTTTTTGTTTGTTTGTTTGTTTTTTGTTTTTTTGTTTTTTTTGTTTTGTTTTGTTTTTAGCTGGCTGCCATCCAGACAGTATTTAGACTATCAGATAACGTTAATCCACTGAATCCACTGAATTAATAATGTCATAAGAAAAGCCTGGCCCCCCACAGCCTCACAGTTAAATTAACTGTGCGTGTTCCAATTTTCACGCAGGAAGTATTTAAAGGATCTAAATTCTATTACAGAAATACAAAAACTCAGCTATTACATTTTGGTAAGGCAGAGACACTGGTTAAGCTGGCCAAATGCCTAAACCAACTCCAGCACCTTAAAATTGTACGTTTTCCAAACTGTTAGTATAAAATAAATGAACAATTTCTGTGGCATAATTTATGTCCCATCAATGGTTAATTCTTAACACTGACATTCAGTGTTACCATTCATTTACTTTAACCACTTCAACATGAATATTTTTACTTCCACTTTTTTTTTTTTAAAAAAGATATTATTTAATGAAGTGGGTGGAGGAGGGCAGAGTAATATCCTGTACAGGCCTGACTAGCGCAGTAACCATTCAATACCATATTTATTTTAAGAATGATGTTTCACAGATGTTATATTGTTCACAACTAAATGAATTCATGTATTTTAGGCAACTATTATGCAGATAAACTCTAGTCAGCAGGAAACTTTTTTTTGCCCTGATTTAACTGCATATACACTTCCACTATATACCAAACACTATTTCTGTCTACAATATTAAACAAGATTTTGTCCATAAATCTTTAAAATCTATACAGATGGCAGTGCAATTGTGTGAAAGTCACCTTCAGCTAGGCTACTCCAAAGCTGCCAGTGAAAGGCCTTTTCTTACATTACCTTTGCTATTATTTTCAAAACTTTCACTATTTATATTTTGGATGATCTATAAAAACTCTATGAACATACCACAAAACCAGCTGTAGCGAAAATGAAAAGTAAATATCTCAATCCCTACCTAAGTGCACACACAATTTTGAAATAATAGTAATTACAGAATAGACTATCATAGAATCATGCAATCACCAAGGCTGGAAAAGTCTTACAAGATCATCCACTGCAAATGTCCACCAGTCACCAATAGTTCTCACTAAACCATGTCCCTCAACACAAAATCTAAACGCTCCTTGAACACCTCCAGGGTCGGTGACTCCACCACCTCCTGGGCAGCCCATTCCAGTGCCTGACCACTCTTCCAGAGAAGCAGTATTTCCTAATATCCAGCCTGAATCTCCCCTGGTGCAGCTTGAAGCCATTCCCTCTGGTCCTATCACCAGTTACAAGAGACAAGAGGCTGACACCCAGATCATTACAGCCTTCCTTCAAGCAATTTATAGTTATTCTTCTATTAATTTCAGTTCTCAAAGCCTGTAC